AAATGACGGATAATGAAATCTCGATTATCACTTTATCATGCGAGAGTATAAAATGTTCGGTGACACCTGAACTTAGCCCTTCCTTACTTGTTATGTATGAATTCGTAAACCATACGTCATAGTAAAATTTTATAGAAATTAAGCATTGACTGTGAAACGCAAACGACTACTCAATCTGCAGCAATGCTTAGCTAAGATTTTATTTGGGCACAACTTAAGTACGGACCGTGAAAGAGGGCAATAATGTATATATATAAATGTGGGGACGCTAGTACTAATACTTTGTATATCAGTGTACATGCGAATATCGGTGTTGTGTGTCAGATCGTCTTTTGAAGTAGGCGGTGCATAGACGGCATATAAGTTAATGGTTGCCACCAAAATAATAAATGACACGCACCTTTTGAATGCAAAGTTGAACTCAACCTTTTTTATACAGAATTTGCTTATTTACTATAACTTACATACGAATTCTTATTTTTTAGCACCTATTTCTATAGTAATAACGTAAGCAATAATCAAAACAGCAAACCTCAGTTTGTTGCTGCAATTTTTGGAAAACAACTTTGTTGAGCAACATTCTTGTCAGTATACAATATTTTGCTAGCTACGACAACTTTGTTGTTGTACTATATTTCGGTAGCTATGCTAGCTGCGATCGTACATGTAAATACGCAAATAAGCATATTAGCGGAAATAGAGAAACTGTTGTTGAGTGCGGCAAACTAAGAAGCAAAGAAGGAGTGCGCGATAATAATAACCACTGCCTTCTATAAAAGAAAGCATAAGAACAAAACACGAAATGTCTTAATGATTGGGTTTTGGAAAAAAAAATTWGGTTATTTAATGGAGGAGCCTGCTTAGGGCTTAAAAAATCGATTTTTTTTGATGTTTTTTTAGGAGGGAAAGAAATAATTGATTAAAGCGAAATTTCGAGGGTTTATAGTTATATATTTACATACATCACCGAACATTTTTTGGATACGAATTCTTTGATATTGTGTCTTAGGGAAGCAATTTCCCGATGCATTTCGCGTGTGCATTTGTTGGACGGCGGGAAGGATGCAGGTCGCAATTTCTATCGGAAACGAAAAATTCAAAAAATTTATCTTTGTTAATAACTTATGTATGTTCAAGTTGAACTAGGAAAATCTCAAAAAAAGTGTAAAATTCTAAAAAAATTTAAATTAAAAAAAGTTGTTTTTAACAAAAAAATTTACTTTTTGTTTAAACATATGTTCAAACTTAACTTTTCTTAGTTTTTTTTTTGGTTTAAATAGAAGATAATTTACAGACAGAGATAAAAGCTTTGCCCCGATTTGAGATAAACCGACCGCCAATTAAGAAAAATCGTAAAAATTAAAAAAGGAGTCAAAGTTTTCGCTTTTTGCCCAAGCGTATGCTTCGACAATATTTCGAATTTCCATTTATAACTTTTGGCGCATGTTCTTAGATAATTTTCAAAGAGATTTAAGCAAAAAAATAAAAATAAATTTTTTAAAGCTTCTAAAGCAGGTTTCCCCCTTAAAGAAGATTTTTCAAAACGTAACTTAACACCCAAATGTGTCTTTATTCATTCGATAAATGTTATCTCTTAAATTCATAACTCATTACAAACTTTAATAGGATTGCTTCCAAATGTATTTTTTTGCAAGTTTTGTCATATTAGTAAACAGCTGGTTCGAATATTGGTTTTGCGTATGTTCGAAAASACGAAAATCCAATCAGATTTATAACACCATTTATAWTCAGAATTGTTTTGCAATTCTGACAGCTTAGCAATTCTGTCTTGGATTCCACAACACCCCTGATTATTTTTATTGGAGGTCTTATTTATATAAATAATTATAAAAGTTGAAACATTAATTCATTTGTTTATAGTGGTAAAAAGACATTACATAAACCAAAGTCAAAATTCTTGTGTTCAAAACTTTTGCAACTTTTAACTATTGTAAAATTTAATTTTTAAATGAGTTATTAAATTTTAATTTTTAGTTGCATTGGTATTAATTTTAATAACTGCATCATGTCTTCTAGGCATTGAAACTACTAGACTTTTAATGTAACTGTAAGGGATCGATTTTCATTTTCCTTTCCAATCTGGCGAAAAGTTCATCACAATTTCGGAACATTTCATTGCCTATTTTGTGTTTAACAATCATCCACATATACTATATGGGGTTGAGATTGGGAGACTGTGCCGGCCACAGCACAGTATTTGTATGATTAGTGCTGACCACGATTTTACGAACCTAGTCGTGTGGATGTTCTCAGTCCGAATCATATGGCAAACCGCTCACTTATGTAAGTTATCGTGAATTAACTCTCACAACGACCATTTAGTCGACGACACATCCGTGAACGCACCTTCACTTAGGTCACTCACATTAATGTAATCCGATACCTTACACGAGCCGCTGAGGCAACATAATTATGTTACAATGTTTACGCAGTCGACTGCCAAATATTCCATGTGAACCGCTGTGTCGGCATAACTGCGTTCACACGGTGAACGACTGTAAATGTTCCATCGAATCGCTATGTTAGCAGAATAGAATTCGCACAGGCAAAGCGGTGGCAGAACGGTAGCAGCGCAGCGCGACGCCGATGGTTAGTTGTAGGCTAAGAAATCATTGTAAAGTTCAGTTTTAGGACTCACGTCAAACTAACAGCCAGTGACCTGTAATAAATAAAGACCTTAAATTTAAATCGTTTAATTGGCGCCCAATGTGGGGCTCGCGAAAATTAAGTCGAAAGTTCACAAACAAACAGTAGTGGTGTAACGCAGTAAAGGACACTCCAGCCTTAACGAGGAGGATTTAAGTCACCAAGGAACGAATTTTCCTTGGGCAGCGTTATCTAATCTGAATTACCCTTGGGCAGCGGATGGAGCGAAATCACCAGCGATAATCCTGGGAGTTCTTCGGCACCACTACCTGATAGACTAGAACGTGAAACAGCTTGAATCCCGCAATATTATAAGGATGGAAAGGTGAGTGCTTATCTCGTTCTAATTAAAAAAAAAAGTGAAATAAAGAGGTAAATAACTTTTAACAAAATAAAGTGAAATTGAATTACAAAATTTTACGGGAAGTAGATAGGGAGTTAGAGGGCTTGTTCAGAAAACCTAATTTGGAGAATACAGAAGAACAAATCATCAACGCTGAA